ATCTCGTGAGCAGAGATGGCCTATTCAAGATTCTTGCCAAGATCGGATGTCCCCCTAAACTTCTCAGAATGATCCAGTCCTTCCACACAGGCATGAAAGGAGTCGTCCAGTTTGACGGATCCTCTTCTGAAGCCTTTGACATCCGCAGTGGGGTAAAGCAGGGCTGCGTACTGGCTCCAACCTTGTTTGGCATTTTCTTTGCAGTCATGCTGAAATGTGCATTTGGTACATCAACTGAGGGAGTCTACCTCCACACCAGATCAGATGGGAAGCTTTTTAACTTGTCCAGACTAAAAGCCAAAACCAAAGTACGAGAAGTACTTATCAGAGACCTGCTATTTGCAGACGACGCTGCACTTGCAGCCCACACTGAGAACAAGCTACAGATACTGTTGGACAAACTCTCGTGTGCCTGTCAGGATTTTAGTCTGACGATAAGCTTAAAGAAAACAAAAGTGATGTGCCAGGGAGTTGATCACCCCCCATCAATAACTATTAACAACTATGAGCTGGAGGTTGTGCCCAAGTTTACTTACCTAGGCTCCACCGTGACTAACAACCTCTCCCTAGAAGCTGAACTAAATGGCAGAATAGGGCGAGCAGCAACCACCTTCGCCAGGCTACAGAAGAGAGTCTGGGGTAATCAGAAGCTCACAATTCACACAAAGATCGCTGTATATAGAGCATGTGTCCTCAGTGTTCTGCTTTATGGCAGCGAAACATGGTCCCTGTATACAAGCCAGGAAAAGAAGCTTAACACATTTCACATGCGTAGTTTACGTAGAATCCTAAATATTAAATGGAATGACTATGTAGCCAATGTAGATGTCCTCACACGTGCTAGTATCCCTAGTATGTACACACTGCTGAAACAGCGCCGACTCCGTTGGCTTGGACATGTGTGCCGCATGCCTGATGGGAGAATACCAAAGGACTTGTTGTATAGTGAACTGGCAAGTGGGACAAGAGCACGCGGCCGTCCGCACTTGCGATTTAAGGATGTAGTTAAGCGGGACATGAAAGACCTGGACATAGACATTAACACATGGGAGACTCTTACAACAAGCAGAACACTTTGGAGACAAGTAGTTAAGAAGGGATTACATCGGGGGGAAGAAAAACAGAGACTCAAATCAGAACACAGACGCCTTAAGCGTAAAGCAAAAAAAATAAGTACATGATGTAGAAGATGATTTTTCTTCATGGTCCTACGAGACCGATGAAATGCCTACTACTAGAAAACTACGAGACACACGAAGATGTTGCGAGTAGTTTTTAATACACCATGGTGAAAACACATTACTAATGAGCAGTTATACGGTTCGCTACCAAATGTAACTTCAGTAGTCAAATGTCGACGACTAAGCTTGGCCGGTCATGTTGTACGTAGTGAAGAACCAGCCAGTAGGCTTCTACTCTGGAACCCTAGGCCTGACACAAAAAGAAGAGTTGGACGGCCAAACGTAACACTTAAGAAACTTATAGAAACTGAAACAGGCTTGCAGGGCCTGGAACTTATCTCTGCGATGAAGGACAGAAAGTTCTGGAGATCTAACTTTGTATGCACCACCTCTTCGGAGGATGATTGATGATGATGATGATGTGTCCTCTGTCGTCCCGCCCAGGTGTACCATGAGCGCGTGAACACGCACTGCGCCGAGTCGGAGTTTAACTACTCGCACTGCGGCGTCAAAGACGTGTCCAAGGAGCTGGTGGGACTGGAGGACTACTCAGCCACCAAAATCAAGTTCACCAAATGCTTCAGCTTCGCCAACATCGAGTCGGAGAACGACTACCTCTCCCAGAGGGCGCGCTTCTTCAGCGAGAACGAGGGTCGGGACGACTATATGGAGACCCGGGAGGGCATGCACCTGATGAACGTGGACTTTAAGGAGTACATGATCGCATTCGCGGAGCCGGACAAGCTGCCCTGGTACCTATCACACGCCATGTTCTGGATCGCCTCCACCTTCCTGCTCTCATGGCCGCTGCGGGTCCTCATCGAGTACAAGACAGCCTTCGTGCATTACCACGTGGAGAAGCTTTTCGGGTAAGTCTTCGTGCATTCTCACAGGTAAGTCTTCGTGCACTCTCACGGGTAAGTCTTCGTGCATTCTCACCTGTAAGTCTTCGTGCATTCTCACAGGTAAGTCTTCGTGCATTCTCACCTGTAAGTCTTCGTGCATTCTCACGGGTAAGTCTTCGTGCATTCTCACGGGTAAGTCTTCGTGCATTCTCACGGGTAAGTCTTCGTGCATTCTCACGGGTAAGTCTTCGTGCATTCTCACGGGTAAGTCTTCGTGCACTCTCACCTGTAAGTCTTCGTGCATTCTCACCTGTAAGTCTTCGTGCATTCTCACGGGTAAGTCTTCGTGCATTCTCACGGGTAAGTCTTCGTGCATTCTCACGGGTAAGTCTTCGTGCACATCCAGAACAGACAAAATAGGGCAGCCCGATACTAGTACCCCTGTTCCACAAGTTCTCTCACCTAGAGCTTTCGACCACTCTGGTCTTCCTCAAAGAAGCCAGGTGACAAGTCTCACTGGTCAGTCTACTGAGGAAGACCAGAGTGACTGGTCGATGGCTCTAGGTGAGAGAAGTTTTTGTGTTGGTTCAAAAGTTTTAACTCTAAACATGTAACTACCAACACAGATGAACTTTCATGCTATCATTAAACGTTGTTTTTCTATCCGTCTGTCCTTAGATGTGACTACATGACGCTGTTTTTGTCTGTCCCTAGATGTGACTACATGACGTTGTTTTTGTTCTGTCCCTAGATGTGACTACATGACGTTGTTTTTGTCTGTCCCTAGATGTGACTAAATGACGTTGTTTTTGTCTGTCCTTAGATGTGACTACATGACGTTGTTTTTGTCTGTCCTTAGATGTGACTACATGACGTTGTTTTGTCTGTCCTTAGATGTGACTACATGACGTTGGTTTTGTCTGTCCTTAGATGTGACTACATGACGTTGTTTTGTCTGTCCTTAGATGTGACTACATGACGCCCACGGAGGTGGACATGTGGAACTCCACGCTGAGGATCCCGCGGGTCAGCACCGTCATCAGTAACCGGTCGCTGGAGTGGCGCATCCAGGCCAACCGCGAGATCGTGCCCAGCTACTCGGAGGCGCTGCTGATGGAGACGGCGGCGGGCGGCATGGCGTACCGCGTCCGCAGCACCGGCCCGTCGCTCGCCTCGCTCAGCTCCTACTGCACCGGGCACTCCCGGTCCGGCACGCTGCACCGCGGCCGCCACGGCGGGCAGTCCTGCGGATCGCTGGTGAACTACACCGTGAACGGACACGCGGGCTTCCTGAACGGCTTCCCCAGTCTGCACAGGCCGCGCGGCGCCAGGCATGGGGACTCGGGCCCCGGGAGGGAACCCATACACGCCAATAACAACTATGCACACAGCTCTGCGGCACAGGGCACGCGGAGAGACTCCCTACATTCGGCCGGACACGGCAACGATAGATGCACGGAAGCCGGCATAGAGCCGACGAGACCCATGCTGGCTGCCGGCCGCGCGCACGGGCCGCTGACGGCCGACCAGTACTGGAGCCCCGGGGATGTCGACCACAACACGAACAGTGACGGGAGGGAGGGGGGCCGGTCCACGCGAACAGTGACGGGAG